ACCCCAGACTACTGGGAGATGATCCGATCGAGCCAGTGAGCAATGAAACGCTGCCTTACCACGATGTCCTCGGGGTAGGTGTCATTGGAGAAGGAGCCGTCGTCAAACATGACCTCGTAGAACACCTGGGAGCTGATCTGAGTGACCTTGGAGCTGTAGTAGCGCAGGTTCTTGTGTTTGGAGATCACGGTCTGACCCAGAGCGATGGACGACTGGCACGCTCGCTGCTTCTGTTCGGGCGAGGCACGGAGATGTAATTAGACCAATGTTTGAAAATTGATACCAGCAAAATGTCAAATTAAATGTCAACCAAGTGCCAGTGCAGTTCCACATCATCACTTTTAATTATCTGCTTCACAACAACACAGAGCTTTCTCCTAAATGTTGTCTCCCTCAACTGACGTGTCACAGACACAAGGATGAACAGGATATACAACGGTATAAGGCACAAAGATAAGGACTTCCTGTCTCCACCTTGGGAACTTGTGGAAAAGAAGACTAAAAAATTTAAATAAAAAAAAAACACACAAACATGAATGAATGAAATCCATAAAAATAAAGATCGTTTATCGAACAGTTAACTCACAGCTGAAGAGCTCCGTGACTGATGTCTGTGGCAGGTGATTGACACGACATATGGCCAATCATCCGGCTCCATGACGACGCCGGCCGCGTGGGCACAGGTCACATGAAAGGAAGTGGGACATCGGCCACATGAGCACTGGATACAAGCACCAGCCTGACGCTTCCCTGCACAGCGTTTACGGCAATAGATGCACTTCTGTAAAAAAAAAAAAAGGTCTTGTTTCTTCGTGCTTTATATAAAGCAGTGCAGAGACAGATTAAACCTCTAGTAGGTGCATTTTACTTATCGGAACCCAGTCACAGAATAAAACTCTCTGTAGGTACTGATCTTATCTTTTGTTAGCTGTAATCCAAGGCTAAGGTCAAACAAATGGCAACACAAATGTGTTGGAGCTATTAATTCGAAATGCTTCCTTTTAATGATTTTGGTGTTTATTTAATATTCCTTGATAATGTTGTGGAACAGATTAAGCTGAAGTCAGAGTACATTACAACCCTGGGGCTGTATGTAACAGAAAGAAGATAACTGTAGCTTATGTAAATACAGTAGGTGGAGACAAGACCAAACAGATTAGTAGCAATATATTCCGTAAAATAAAGAATTAACTTAAAACAAAATAATATCTCATTAGCATTTACCTCGGTTAAATTGTCAATGAAGAAGGAGTTGTAAGTCTGAGGGAAATTACAAAACTACCACGACCTTGAACGCAGCTACAGACAAAAAAATAGAAAATATCACTTCACTAATGAAAGGTTGAAGTAAGGCAGCGCAGCAATAGTACTGTAGTAGAGGTTTTTTTATTTCAAAATACAACTGCCTGGTGACTGCAGTCTGGCTGGAGATTTGCTGTCAACACACAGGAATGCAGGATAAGGACGTTTTAAGACACGTCGGCCTTACGCTGACATCAGTTTGACCAAGATTGATTACAGCACAAAAGAAAATGTGGCACTGTCCAGCAGGGGAGGCTTTTGTGCAAGTAAAAAAAAAAGTCTTTTGAGAAAACGCTTAAAAATTCTACAAGAACAACAGAAGCACTTCCAAGTTGAAAGACCACAGATTGAACCAAAGTTGGGACATGAATCTTTAGCAGTATCAGAAATAGTCAATTCAAATATTAACATCACTCGTTTGAGAAATGCTCGACATAACGTAAAATTTACAACTACTATTGAAGATTGAAGATGTCAGCAAAATAATCAGATGAGTTCATTTAAAACACTTTTCCCTGCAGTGGCATAAGTAAAACAAAAAAAGATAGGAATTAAATTAATTTGACCTGCTAGGCCTCCCTCCTACCCCTGCCATAACTCCACACCTCCCATGGGTTGGTTCACCCTGTTACCCAGGCTGAAGGACATAAACATTAAACAACACAACATTGTATTTGCCCACGACTACACTGATACCTCCATTTTTACAGCCCTCTTGCTTTTCTCCTCTCCACTGCATACAATTTCCACTACTGTGACATCTCCACTCCCCTCTTTTTTCCAACAAATCCTCTACTAAAGGAAAGATGACAACATCCTTCCATTATCACCCCCCTCGCTCTCCTTTTCCTCTTTCATGTCTCCCATCTCTCTCCGTATCTTTTACTGCCCCCTAATAAAACTCCCATCTACGCTAGTTTTTTTTCCACTCCCCTGTTCTTACGAGGTGTTCTTTCACATCTATTTGGAGGCAACTTAATAATAGTGTATTTCATTGGAATTTATGCTTCCATATCTGCACTTACAGACAGGTAATAAGTCTGTACATCAGACATGATGCTCCAGAATTGGTCTAAGTGGGAATTACCTTTGTGTAAAAATATGACTTGTGACCTACATAAGTCTTATCTTTTTCTCTCTTTTTTTAGTAAAGTCCATTTAGTATAAAATATTAACTAAGCTTATAAAATATATTTTTATGTGTATATTACAAAGGCCATGGCTACAAAAAAGAATAGGAAAGGACAGCTGGATAAGACGGGTGGAGGCTGGGGCTGTGGGAGTATTAATTCTATGTCCTTATCAAGTAATCCTCTGAAATAAATTCCATTTGTCCGGTTCTTCCAGAAATCAATAACTTGGGTCTAATCAATTAACCTGGAAAGCACAAATTAAATGGAAGCTGCAGAGTTGGCCTGGATTTGTTTTAACGATTATCAGCTTAGTCTACTGTCACATGAGGATCAGGATCTATTGTCTCAGTGAAGACCCCATTTACTTACACCGTCAAAGGGCAACATAAAAGCTTCATTTTTAAATCTGTGATTAAAAAAAAAAAAAACCTTAATGCTATCTACTGTCTTATTAATCAAAGGTCTCATGCTCCTGTTTCTGAACCTAGTCTGACAAACTCAGCTTACATTTCATGAAGCCACTTTCTATAACTAGACCTTTGCAGACAGCACCCAGATGAACTGGCCTGACTGTCTAGACCACATATTTAGGCCAATGTGAACAGATTCTGAGGGGCGTGTTCTACACCCTCAGATATATGGGTAGAGGTAATAAATGGACAAGCCACAGGGGGCGTAAGAGCCCAGCAGGTGCAGCAGGAGCTTTGGCTTGTTATGATGAGCTGCAATCACTTCACAATCACCGACACACAGGCTGGTGGCAGTAAATACATTAGGAGTAAGGGGTAAAATGTTGCTGAGAGGTTTCCAAGTTTGGATCCTATTAATAGAATATTATACCAGTGAGTCCAGGACAAATTAACTGAAAGTACAACATTAAAGTGCAGGTAGTGAGAGTTACATGGTTCATTCATGGCAAATAAGAGACAATCCTCAAATACTATACCTCTAAATTAATGACTCATTTGTAGTCAGTTAAAAATTAGTGACATATAGAATCTTTCTCTGTTCATTGAAAATGCGCACACGCTGACACGTAGCCAGCAGCCCAGCACTAACTGTGTCAGTACGCTTTCTTTCCACACGCATTTTAAAAAAGCCTTAACCTTTAAAACATCGCAGGTTTAAATGAAAGTCTGACGTACTCCACCTGCCATGTCTCTCAGGTGTATCTGAGGGCCTGCGTTGAGCCGTGCATGAGGAACATTCCCACAGTAAATTATGAATGTGCCCAGGTTTGTGTGCTGACGTGCATGTCTGCTATGGGGCAGTAAATTATGAATGTGATGGGCTGCTGCAGGACCACTGGGTCAAATGAAAAGCACGGCGTGCACGCTGCAAGTAGAAATTGTCTTGTTATTGAAATACTGGAAAGAATACATTTTAAATAAATCAAAAAAAATCTATGATGTAGTCCTAGAGCATATATAATATAAATTGGTGTGTTTACTTATCTAAACATTTGGTCAATAAATTTGCACACCAACTAAAATTAGAAGTTGAATATTAAAAGCACCATCTGGTCTCAATTGAATCTTTGGAAAGTATTTGGGTCTGCAATTTTTTTTTCTGACTGTAAAAGTAAGCAGCCGAAAATAAGTGTGCATGGTTATTTAGTGCAGTCATATCCTCCGTCTTAAAATGTGTTTTATGGACCTTACAGAAATGTACAATACTTACAAGTGTTTTTTTAAAAAACATCTGTGGACTCAGCCAAATCACAAATTTATCACCACTTAAGAGTTTATGGAGGGAAACGCTGTATCCTCAAACATTCATTGAAATAATTGCGAGTTTGGAAACATTTTCACCAACATTAAGGTCACGTTCAGCAAATTTCACATGAGTGTCCAACTGTTTCTGTTTGTCTGGGAACAAATTCTCTGGGTTAAGATTGTTAGGCCTGTGAATGTAGACTACATATAACCTCCTAAATCCATATGATCCTAATTAGGGTACATAAGGAGGACATACATACAGCTTATTATTACTGTAAACATCACCCTGTTGGTGAGTGTGGGTGTGTTTGTGCAGATTCTGTGTCCCTTTTCACATTCTGTGCTACAGAATCCCCCGTTGAGCATATTTCCAGTTAAGCACTCATGCTGACACATCGATTGACTGGTCTTTTATTATTGTAGAGCATGAGTTCGGCTGAACTAGAAACAATTTGTCAATTAAAGGGACATGAGGTCGAGACTGTTTTGGAATTAATGATCAATAATTTAATAGTGACTTCTTAGTGTGTATATATATGTTATACATATGTTAAGCTTATAAAAATGGTGCCACAGTTCTACGTTACAACAAATACCTTGGAAAAGACTTTGCTTACATTACCTGCTTCGTTGCTATGGTAATGGCCTTGGCTGATTCTAGAGGGAAAAAAAACCTACATCTACTGTAATATAAGGCTAGACAACCAGCATGAATCTTGGTTGAATTTTCCAGGATGTTGCCTAAAATGTTGTTGAACACAAGAAGACAAACTCCATAGGAAACAATTGTCTTCTGCAACATTTTATGGCACAAATAAGGGGCATGTTGATGATAATGCAGACTGGGTCATGCTGCAACGTGCATAGAAGAACTGCATTTACTGCAGTTTGTGTTGCATTTGCAAGTTTATTTTTTCATGCTCATGGTTCGAATTTGTATTTAGTCTGTCATAAATTGAAATGTATGTGAGAGGGGAAACGTAAGCAGCTATTAACCAGCACCTGATGAACAGTTAATGTCTTCTTTTATTTAAAAGATTCATTAACAAAAAACAAATCCATAAAACCTACTGCAAAGAACCAAGTCCATTTTTTTAATGTGCTTCAACAGCAAAAATGCATTTAAGTCTTGTTTAAATTTTATGATCACACAAATATCCTCTTTAAGTGGTTTAAGCCTCTTTTAAAATGCTGAAAGTCAATGAAGAGACACATATTCTAGCTGGAAAGAGCTGGCTGTATTTATTTCAGTTATCCATCTTGTGCAAAGATGTACCTCTCCAGCAGTGGGATTTCTGCTGAGTGAACACAGTGCCTGAAGCACAAGACTAACTGTAGAGACACCATGTCAGGTCTGCTGAGACACACTCCAGTGCTCTCTCATTAAACAAACACACACACATATGCACATACACACGCGCACACACAAAAACGGCCACACACACACACTCACCAATGGTTAATTAACTAGCTGTGATTGCGGGCATGTTCATCTCAGATTGTTAATTAGAACTGTGAACACTTCATTAATTAGACCGAAGCAGTCCTCAACTCTGGGAACCTGGGATATTCCAACGCAGCAAGTGTGTTTGCGTGTGTGTGTGTGTCCTCACCAGTTTGAAACGCTGCATGGGAATTCTGCTGGTGTCAATGGGACTTCTCTTAGCTTCATCGCTGAACCGGGCCTCTGGCAGAGCGATTGCGCATATAATGTGAGCCCATCTTCACAGACACACAGAAATATGGCATATACACAAAGATATTATTACATAATACGAGGCTATATCTTAACCATTCAGTGCTAATTATGGAGTTTTAAAAAAAAAAAGACTCACTTGTCGTTTTGGGTTTTCTTCAGCGCACCCCCTCTGAGGTTACACAGACAGCATTCCTATGAAAATAAAGAATCCATTCCCGTCAGTCCTCGTAAACCTGACACCTGCTAATGCATGTATCTCCATATAATGGCTACACTGTACAGGGTATATAAAAGGTGGCGTGTGCAGGATTTTTTATTTAGCATAGATCACATAAAATTAATCTCCTCAGTCGTTTTATTAGATCACAGTATTGATTCGTTTGGTTTATTTTATTTGTTTGATTTATCTGCAGGGAGGCTCGCCTCTGTCTCTATATTCTTTTATTGCCTGTCCTTTGTAAGTGGTTAGGATGCTTCTGGGTGTAAATGTTACCACCAGTAAAAAATAGGCCTGAGCTGGCAGTAAAACAAAGGATGTAAAGCTTCCGTTACACACATAAACCCCACAAACTCACACCCCAGGGTAGTGCAGGAGGTCTAAATTTCCAAATAGAAATTTTTTTTTGAGCCAAAAGTTTTTAAATGTTTTCAAAAAGTTTTTCTCTTCTAACTTTTGTTAGAATTATAGAAGTTGATTTATATAAAACAAAAGGCCCAGCAAATTCAACCTATTAAGGAGCTCCACCTATAATATAGGTATTCAAAATAAATCTGTTAAGTTCAATCAGTGAAAATTTTTCTGGGGTAAGGATCTAAAAAGCCCCATCCAACAGTGTAGTTTCAATAACAATTGTCAATATTTAGTTTATATTTAATTAGTTAGAAGGTGGATTTTAGATAAATACAAATAAACAAATACAACATTTAGGAATATTTACAAGTGGACTTAAGTCAAGTGAAAAAATTAAAACACAAAGTTAAAAAAATAAATAATTTATAAAAAAAATGTCTTTTTACTTAAACCATTTAATTGATATCATAACTTTATGGATCACAGGACTGGATCCACCATACTGTGTCAGTAAATGGCCATTTTCTATTCCCTGCTGATTGGTGTGCTGTTCTTTGTCTCACACTGGTGATTAACACTACCTCAGGTTTTGAGCCAGTGCCTGAAATAATGCCCCTGTAATTTTCAGTCCATTTTCAGCATGATTTTCAGCATTTACCTTTCTTTTCAGCCACAACATGTGAATTACCTCCTCACTTCTGCTCCTATTCACTGTGTGACTCACTCAAGTGGCTGAATGCACATTTTTGATTAACTAATTATGTCAAATTAGAAGACGGGTTGCTGCATTTTTACTGTAATAACTAGAAAGCAGGGTCAGTTAAACCAGAAGTGACTAGACATCATTTATAAATCCCAATATCTCATCAGTAACAGATATGGGTGTGGATATGCTCGTGTAGGTACGCATCCACACCTATAAGTGACCTATGCACAATGACAATGGAGAGGGAGCTCTCATTTGAAAATGATGCAAAGTTTAAAGACCATTTAAAGTCAGTTTTGAAAAAAAAAAAGGATATGAGATCCTTTTATTACAAAAAGATGAATTTTGGAGACAGAAGCTAATAACTGACTGGAGTCATAAACCCTGAAAACCCACTGTGAGAAGCAGTAGAGGAGCCGTTGTACACATGCAAAGCCACTTACTGCTGTAAAGCTTCCTTCTGTGCATCGGTCACATGACCACTGCTCGTTGACGTCATCTGCAGAGACGCCATAGCAACCTTGAAGTGGAAGAGATGGAATAAAAATGTGTTAAACTGGGAACTGCTTGTTCAAGTGACAATGACAAATGCTGGCTGCTGGGTTTTGAAGTGCCACTCAGGTAAAATGTATAATGTACATCAGGTACCAGCAAATACTGCCTGGATGTTTCATTCTCAGGAATGAGTAGAAGTACAGCACTGAGATTGTTAACAGTGATCATCAACCTGCGGTCCGTGGGCTGGATCCGGCCCATGACTAGATTCCAAAATTGTAAGGATAAAAAAATAAATATCAGAGTCTCCACCTGCCAAAGGTTTCTGTACAGATAAATTCTGGCCCTTCAACATATTTAGTTGGTGACTCTTGTTCTTTTATTCAAAGCGCTTGAAGTTCAAATTTGGGTAACAATATACTGTAGTGTTGGTCTTAGCACAGGTTTCGTAATAGAGATAGTTTAACTTTTTATTTTGTCTGATGAATAATAAGTCTAATGTCAAAAAAAATTAAAGAAAAACAATGGTGATTCTGTTCAAATAAGAAATCTCATGAAAAAAAAAATCCCCAAGTTAGAGACTGGAGGAACAAAAACCAACAGGAATTTTGATGCCTCTGACCAACTCTGTTTTTTTGTACATTAGCAGAGTTTCTGTGTACTTTTTCAAAACAATCCATAAAAAATACCTAACATTTAACCTGAGCTCATCTCTCTTTTCTCTTCCAAGTTCAGATAACGTTAGCCATATCAACGTACACGCCCTTGCTGTGTCCCAGCTCTCAAAACCAAACCTGTGGTTTGTTCATCACTGTCAAATGGCACTCATTTATTTTACCAGCTCCCACTCAAACACATTCACCTAAACAGAGTTGGAAGAAGTTCAAAATAGTACAGACCGAACAGTCTTATAGATTCATGTTAGTCATTTAATGAACATGTGAAGGTGCACATCTGTGGTAACTCATGATGTGGACACTTATTAACCTGCCTCGGGGCACAGGAAAAGTGGGGAACAAATCAACTCTAAGGATTTTAGGTTGAAGTGTGTATGTGTGTCTGTGTGTCTGTGTGTGTGAGAAGAGGCTTGTTGCACTGGTTTGGGGCTTTTGGACAGGAAGCGCGTGTGGTAGAGGATTCACCCACATTCGACTGACTTGGGAAATAAAACACTCAAAACCACAAAGAGGGAGAAACGGGAGATGGAACATTGAGATGATGTGAGTCAGGACATAAACTCACTGACCCTCGTGCAATGACAGAGAGACAAGGGCAACAAATAAA